CATGGAAGGAAAATTGCTTCTTATCCTTAAGATCCTGTGTCTTCCTAAAAAATCATGAAAGTCGCATGAATTCTCCTCCTGGTCATGCTCCCAGTAGTATGTATGAATGAATGAATGTACAGTCGGCAGTTCAGCGGTTAGAATCCCTAACACCACCTAACGGAGTGACCTCCTGGTACTTGTCCCAGCTCCTGCCAACCTAGCAATTCAAAAGCATTTAAAAATGCAAGAAGAAAAATAAGAACCACCTTTGGTGGGAAGGTAACAGCGTTCCTTGCACCTTTGGCGTTTAGTCATACTAGCCACATGACCATGAAGACATCTTTGGACAATGCTGGCTCTTCGGCTTTGAAACAGAGATGACCACCCCCCACCCCAGCCTTGGGAACGACTAGCACATATGTGCGAGGGGAACCTTTACCTGTATGTATGTATGTATGTATGTATGTATGTATGTATGTATGTATGTATGTATTCTCATAATGTTACTAAATTCACCCAGATTAAACGTAGTTTTAAAGTAATTTCTTAAAATGAAACACCACATATTTTTCTTTGTGTTCAAGAATAACTTTTTTGCTTCTACCTAATAAGGCTGAAAGAAAGGAAGATCCTTCTGAGTGCAGATGGGCCTTACAGAAATGTCTTGAAGTTTAAGCCACCCATGTGCTTCAGCATGGAAGATGCAAAGTTTGTAGTTGATCAAATTGATGAGCTCCTTACAGGTAAAGTATTTTGGTAGCATACTGACTTCATCTAGGTTTATTTAAAAAGCCACCCTCTAATAATATGCCACTGTATAATAGGAGGAGATCTGTATGTAATCATTGACCCACACAGGACAAGGAGTGGAGGTGGGTACAGGCAGTGGCCATAGATTTGATCATTGTAAAAAGGAAATCCAAGGCTATTTATCGATGGTTAGAGAAGAGAAACAGGAGTTAGAACTTCTAAAATTAGAAGAGAAAGAATAATTTTATTATTAGAGTTGAATACTGTAACATTAATTTTGATTAATTTTTATTAGTATTAACAATATGTATTAATATTATGAGTGGAAAACACTGTTGTGAAATTACTATTAGAGAATACTATTATTATTACTATGATGAATATTACTGAAAAGAATTGTAATCAGGCAACACACTGTCTATATGGATTTTGAACATGTTGCTCTTTCTACTTATATTAATTAAAAAAGAAGGGGAAAAAAGGAAGTTCATAGCTCCATTCCATGGAGAATCTGGCTAGTCCAAACTAGGGGAAAAATAAGACTTGATCCTTAAGACAAGCATGTAAATAATTTCATAACTATCTGCATGATCATTGTAGATAGGGTCTTAGATTGTATATAGCCATGATGGCAAACATAACTATTGTTGAAATGTATTCTTTGAACAGAATCCAAAGGGGAATAAAACAACTTTACTGCTTTACAGCTTTGATAAGCTAGGAAGTAGTACTGGTTAAGGACTATAAACTCCAATAATTTAATACATTTAATAAAAAATTTGAAAAAGAACAAATTTAAAGAAGGATTGCATGAATTTGATTTGTCCAACCTGCTGCTTCCAGATACATTGGACTTCAAGCTTAAAATCCTTATACTAAGTAGAAGTGAATTAGGTGATCTTCAAGATTCATGTGTAATAGATTGTTTATATTTCTTCATACTCAAACAGGTTATTCATAAGCTAATAAATTTATTTTGTGTTCTAGATTTAGAAGAAGCAACTCAAATCAGGCCTAAAAACAGCCTACCTACAAATACTCAGTCTAAAAGAAAAGTAAGTTTGGGAAAAGCAAATTTTGTACTATTACATTGCTTTGTTTTCTACATAATTACAGTAATACATGTACAGTCACTAAGATTGGATCAAATATTTCTAGTCTGTTGTCACTTTTTCTTATATATTTTCATTAGTCATTCCAACATATTAGTCCATCAGTTCACAAATAAAAATCTACAAAAATATCTCAAAATACTGGATATGTTTTCTTAGTTTTTTTTTCTCCTCTCAAAAACTCCCATTTTATAAACATATTTTCTATATAATGAATTCTGATATATGTTTGTGTGTGCGTTTGTGTCTATACACGCATACATACTGTATATGCACACAGATACAATAATTACCCTGCAAAATGGGAAGAAAAACAAACTCTGAATATCAATATTTTGATCAGCTCATTCATCCAAATCAATCAGGCCAAATTGCATTCTTCCCTTGGAACTACATGAGTGAAAAACAGGAATGTGAAATAGTTCTGGCTGTTCTGAATAAATCAAATATTTGTTGAAGTCAATTTCTGCTTGTTTCTCATTTCTTTCAGTTGCCTACTGGTGGGAGTTCCCAGTTAGAATCCAACAATGAAAACATCAGTCCAATTAATGAAACCATCTGCAGACATGAAAATGGGTTTTCTGGTGAAAGCCATGCAGTGCCTTGTAAAAGAATTAGGACGTGAAACGAAAGGATTTTCTATATAGCTGATGGTGTTTAAAGAAAAATGGCTTCCGTTTACTATTTCTTATAATTCATTATATATGATAGAGAAATACCCATTTTTACCTACGGTCAACATTTGGAGCATCAGGTTTTGCAATACTATTTTGTTAGACAAAATTAGTATTGCCTTCTTTGCTTGAGATGCCATGGATATATTTTGACTGTTTTGTTTGACATTTCAGTGAGCAAATTTAAATATTAATGATGCCTCACATTTTAATGATGAACGTATAGTCTTATGCCTTACAAAGATATAACTTGTACATCTCAAAACTAGTTGAACAAAAGGACACATGGAAGAATCTGTGAGGGTGGGTACATTTTTAAGACTTTTGAAATTCCCACCAAAAAGCCTTCTTCTGATTTGTGAATCAGATGATAGGTTTCGTTGTGTTTGTATTTGTGTACATATGAGAGAGAAAATAAATTGCAATTTCTTATGTATACAATATGGAAAATAACATGGCTTATATTCAACATTGGATTTGTATTAGTATCATGTAGCATTATAAAACCTCACTAAACTTGACTAAACATTTTGATATGACATTTATTGTATTCATTTCACCAGATGTTTGTCAATTGTTTCTTTAATGTTATCAGTATTCTTTATCACTTTAAAAGATCATTAGGTAGTTTTTTGTTTTTTATTTCAAAGAATAAAATTATTTAACCATGGAATCCTTGTGTATTTAAATGAATAATTTGTCATCAGTGTGTAATAAATACTTGGTAATGTTATTTTCTTTTTTGGGGTTGATCTTTACTCCCATCTCACACTCGCATAGCTATAAATTAACATGGTTAATGCCAATGGACAGCAGCTGCTTGGAATGGATGAATTATTATTCAAAGTTCAAACCCATACCGCTGTGAATTGCACATATTCAAGCTACAGCAACTAGCTCGATTTGCACTCATAGCGCAAAATAGAAAGAACAAAGTTTAAATTTAACATGTTCATGAAATTATTTGTGTTCCCTTTTTTTCTGAAAAAGGAAGTGAGCTCTCTTATATTTCCTTCTGGCTTCACTTGTAATGTATTTTAGTCATTCTGCCTCTTGCAGAGTCATACATTGTTGTTTATTGTTTTAGTTTCTGATAATCAAACTGTCTACAAACAGGGCTGGCACATTTGTTTTTAAATCTTTGTCAGAAGGTTGGGTAAATGGAATAAAACAATGTTCTCTTTCTTCACAAGATTCTTGTTGTAATCAGGAAATAGGTGGTGTCGGATTCCTCCCCTTCTGTTGAAGGAAGGCTGTGTTCTAAAAACTCCCCAAACTCCTTTTATTTATTCCAAGAAGGTTCCACACCCATTGCAGTTCCAAGAAGGTTCCACACCTATTTGCACTCTGACACAGGTGACCTTGAGGACACAGATAAATCCTCAACTGGCCTCAAGAGCTCTCAGGGAGAGTGCTAACACAAAGGAAGATGAACATATGTGGTCCAGAATAGCGTTGCAGGATCCAATCTAGTTCAGTCACTGGGACCAGAGGTTTTATCTTCTGAGCTTTTGGACTGTCCTGGAGCCCATCTTCAAGGAACTTCTCTCTAGCAGAAGTGTGTGAGAACAGAGTGCAAATAACCAGATGACTGCAAAGAAATATGATTCTTCCAACCCCCGTTGCCATCCTTCCATAACTCCCTCCATCCCACCATGGAGCTTCTTGCAAGGAAAAAAACAGGCCAGTTGCCTTTGAAAAAATCACCTTGGAGACAAGTAAAAGAATGATTTTTCCTCCCTCAGGAAGAGAAATCTTACATCAGTCTAACTACATGCATCCAATAAAGTGATTGCAATTTGCAAAAACATGCCTTTTAATTAAAGGTGTTACAGAAAAAATGCTACTGTGTTCCTTCTGACTCCCTTACTTCAAGATTATGCAAGGTCACTATTAGTCTTCGTCACTTTGCCACCTACAGTATTACTTTGGTTGAAAGCCAAATAACTATAGGTGGCCTGAAACAGAATCATACAGAGGCAGAATAGGGATTGAAAGCAGAGACAGCAAATTTCATTCCAGTATAGTTTTCTGCTGACTCAAGGGTGGATGGATAACACTTCAACTCAGCAGTAAAGAAAAGTCATTTGACTTGTAGCACCTATAATTACAGTAATCTCTAGCTTTGCTATAAATAATAAAAGAAGGAACTGTTTTTTCTTTATTTCAACTCTTCTTACAAGGCATGGTTGTGTTCCAATTAGCACTTGAAAAAGAAATGCATCCAATTTTTTCCCAGTAAAATAGCTTTGCATCTTACACTCATCTAATTAAGATTCTAGAAGATTTCTCCATTGCATCTCACAAAATGTGATGCTTACACCCATATTAGTGAGGTATAGTATACATTCTGGAAACATAAGTACTGTGATATTGGAACTCTTTATGCCTCCTTACATGTCACTACTTCTTGTGTTGGTGACCTTTTTCTCAAACAAATAAAGCTACTTAAAAGTTCCTGGATTCCTCCCTAATGAAATTTATGTCAAAAAGAGAGGTTTTTTTCTGATATACAACTTACTGTTTCAAGGAAGTTTGCCAGAATTAAAATAAAATGAAAAAGAACTCCGCAGAGGCGAATACATCCAGTCGGGGGAGGAGGAAAAAAAAAGGGGGAGGGGAGCAGCGGGGGGCCCCCCGC